TGTTGTGGTGACCCGCCTGTCGCGCCTCGCCGTCTTTTTGCGCTGCCTGGGCGACATGGAGGGCGCGGCTGAGGCGGAACGGCGGATTGATGGGCTGTTGGTTGAGATTGGGGCTTGAAGTAGGCCGTGTGGTGTTTTTTTTGTTTTTTTGTTGTTTTTTTGTAATGGTCTATTGTTTCGGCCATTAGGCCAGGCACTCCCACCGCTCCAACGCTACCTCATCCCGTTGCACTGCAAGGTCCAAGTTGATACTAGTTACAGAAATGCCAAAGCAACTGCAGCTGCCACAATGAAGACGCCGCTCCCAGACACCCTCAGCACCGACCCATGGTCCGGGACGGGGCGATCGCCGAGCGACTCGGGGGCCTTGCTGCCCTCCTGTATGTCCGTGGCCCGCAGGCACCGCATCCACGACCACGTCTTGTTGCCCCCGGTGTTCCCGTCCCGGTCGTGCCAGTGGACGACGAGCAGGACGTTGTAGACGTTGGTCATGATGCGGTCGTACCCCTTCCACGCCTCCGACTCGTCAGTAGCATTGTCCGAAACGGACGCGGCGGCGAGCACATGGTAAGACCCATTGTCGGAGCTGACGGCCTGGCGGATCGACCGGCGAAGGATGCCACTGCCGCTGGGCGCTGTTCCCTCGCTCCATGGGATTAGTCCTCCATTATTTCTCTCGTTTCGGGGGACAGCAGTAGCAGGGAAGGGGGGTTGGGCAGAAAAGCGCAAGACACGTACGTTGAGACAGAGGACTGGTCAGGTTCTCGCACCCCGACCCCGCCGTCCCCCAGCCCCCGTTCAGGAACCCGTCGCACCCGACGCCCGCCGCGACGGCCCCATCGCCGTGCAGCCTGGCCGCGCAGCCGTCTCCCAGGACCCCGACGCACTTGCGGTCCGGGTCGCGCGCGCGCAGCGTCTCGACGGACCCCGCGTCAGCCATGGCGCTGGGCCAGGTCCAGGCGCAGACGGACCAGCGGTCGTCGAGGGAGTCACCCGCGAAGGCGTCGGGGGCGATGACGAGCGCGACCTCGGCGCGGCCCGCGACCCTGTCGCCGTTATCAATGGGCACCAGGCCGGCCACGCGCGCCTGGAGCGTCCACCGCGACGGACCGGTCGGGTCGGCGCCCGCGTACGGCCGCGAGAGGTCCTGGCCCGTGATGTTGACCACGTCCGAGGCGTTGTAGTTGTCCCGCGCCAGCAGCGTCGGCAACTTGCCCGCCGCGCCGCGCCACCACTGCCGGTGCCACTGCGGTGACTCCTGCTGCGCCGCGCCGGCCTGGCGCAGGAGCACGAGGGCGGCGGCGATGATGGTCCAGTGGAGCGTGGGCATTGCAGGGAGTTGGTGCTGCCGTGTTACTTTTGGGTGTGTTTGACTGCCGAGTAGGGTTATGGTATAGTTGGGCAGCGTCTAGAGCAAGCTTCGACCCGTTGGTCGTCGTTGGGACATTGGCACGCCTGGGCATGCGTACTTATACCACACTTCCCTCCCGCCTGCTGCGACTCCGTGGTCTTCATTTCTCGACCTTACGTCAAGACAAAATCCTTGGAGTTTACAGCGTCCAAATGGCGACAACTAAAAACGGTTCACGAGACACTGGGACGATCTCTGACAGGCACACAGGCTAATCACAGGCGATAATGCTCTGTTGATGGCCACGATATGGCCCCGGGGTAGCTCCGTAGGATCTGTCGTGAGTTCCATGCATCAATAGTTCCAACGGGTGGGTGCTGACTGCTGTCTGGGCATATGTCACAGCGTCGCACCGGCGTCGACTGACGTCACCATGGAAACCCAAACCACAGAATCGGGATTGCCCAACCCGAATGGGCTACCTACAATCCAAAAGAGCTGTCTTGTGCAAAAATAGCCACACGATGGAGATCCTTACCAGACATTGCTTGTGAATTTCTGTGCACGACGACTTGTAAATCAGCTGGAATGGCGGCGTTACGATAGTGCTGAGTGTGTCCAGCCAAGCTCCCCTCATGCATCGTCATTCACATTTCATGATTGCCCTGCTCGCACACTTCCTTCTTGTTACTTGTTAATCCTGTCTTAGCCCCGCTGAATTGCCTTCAGGATTTCACCCATATTAAAGCTTATAAACAAGTACCTGAAGCCCTGCAACGGCCAACATGTTCATCTTTAAAATGTACATTGTAAAGGCTTTTGTACTACGCTCGTGGTTATAAAATATAATGTTACTGCGGTATACGCAGTGAATTTGGGCTTTAGTTTATTTTGTCCGTAAGTACCTTTTACTCACAGTGTCCCCATTTCGTGCAGGAGCTGTTCAATTAGTTCAAGTTTACTTTAATCATATACCTCGCTCTCGTTCTTATTTAAACATGGTTTTTGTAAGCTACTCTGGATACGGGAAACTTATATTCAACTGCTTCTTCTTCTTCTCCAATATGTGATTAGTAACAGCCCCAATAATAAAAGAAATTCTGAAGTCAGGTAATTTTAAACGAGAAATATACAAACACTTTGTTTATAACCAAGACTCCTTGAATAGTTGGATTACCGTGTGCTTCAAGACACTTTCAGTATTAGAAACATTTTTGGGTTTGGCTTGCTACATCTCCAAGCACCTGCCGCCTTCGGGTTAGAAACTATTTCTTCGTCTATCTCCCGCAAGATCAAGGGACGCTAGAGTATTGTTTGTGGGAGCGGGCGGGGGCTGTGTTTACGATTGGTCAACATACCCGCCGCCTCGGGAATGCCATTGCAGAAAGCCAGTGGGCATGGAGACGAGCATTTCAAAATGGTTAAAGACCGAGGCGTGAAATTGATGAAAATAAGTGACAGGGAGAAGGGACGTCTTGAACCGATTTTGCGTTCATGGCTGCGAACAAGATTTGTAAAAGATCCTGCAAGAAAACACCACTGGCCCAGCCCCTGTTCTGCCTTGGGAGTGGCTGGAAGATACCAGCCACCGCACTGGGCGTCACGAAGGTTCTACGACCGAGGTATTGAGCCTTGTATCTTTGCCACAGTGCTGAGCACGTCGCCTACTGGTCCGATGCCCTAGAAGAGTTTGTATCTTTCGTTCCGATGCATGTGCAGGCTAGTCAGTATCAAGGAGCATTTTCCATCAGCACTCCCTTCGATCCGGTCACCAAGCCGACCGACGGCACCCCATTTTCCTGCAAACAGATGATCAGGCGCAGCTTCCTACTCCAATACATGGCGTGAGCCGACTGGCGGCCAACGGCCGTCAGGCCTCAAATGTGTCAAACGAGGCCTCCGGGCACGTGCATCCTGTCGTACACCCCAGGTCTGCCGGGTTCCGCGGCTCCTGTTAATTAATGATTAAATCCTGTCCCAAAGACCTCAAAGGAAACTGGCGTTGGCGTCGCAGATTTAACAAGTGGAAAAAAATAGACAAACGCGGGCACCGAAATGATTGGGGCTGAGCTCGCGCAGGAGTGAGGCGGCGCAGGCGGGTGTCGAAATGCGGCCAACAGACCAGGGGGCCCAATGTGATCACGGCATGAGAGGCTACGGGCTGGGGGGAGGCAAACATGGAGGGGTTGCGCTGGCACAACCCTGCCGCCTAAAATCAGGCAAGGCTTCATGCAGAATGCCTTCCGTTGGAGGCTCGTTTGTAGTGGTCTGCCTACAAGGTCGTCAAACGGCGATCGCGACGGCGTGTTTTTATTTAACAACAGAGCTACGGTCCTTCACTTTGTTAGCTTTCCTTCTAGATCTCATCCGAATATTCCATACGCAAATTCATCCACACACCAAGACGCCAGCCCGAGCGAGCGAGCACGACATGTACTTCCAGCAACGGAAGGTGGGTCCGGAGAGGTATAAGCCCTGCCCGAGACTCTGCCACGGCGAGGAGTGTCTGAAGCCGCCTGGGGAGTGCCAGCTATCCCATGACGGGAGGGTCATCGCGGCATTCAAAGCCGGCCGTGGAAGACAGCGGTGCGACAAAGGGGAGGACTGTTGGAATGCGGCCAATTACCTGTGCCGGTACCAGCACACGCTGGACGAGGTCTTCCCAGAAGGGCCACGACTAGCCAAGGCCATGGAAGACCTGGACGAAATCAGCAGCATCAACATGGGCGCCTTGTCAAGCCAAGAGGACACCCACATCTCAGACCTCAAGGGGCTTTCGAGCTTCAGCACGCTTGACAAGGATGACGAGGTTGCTATCCCAGGTATGCAAGAGATCGGAATGGATTGGTGGTAAACCCGACAGTCGCTGACGCCCCCACCTTCTTCTCAGGGACGCCGGCGTTTTTCAACACACCAAGCACACCGATCGCCATCATCTCAGACAACAAGAACGGCGTCTTGCCGGAGCTGCCGAAGCGTACGCACAGCTTCGATGCCCTTGTTACCTCGATCGAGATGATGACCGACGGCTCCGCACTCCGCTCGTCAGACGTTGTGGCCAGCTGTGGGGCTCTGCGGATGATCCTCAACTTCATGAGGAGAAGCTACCAGCAGCCTGGCACCGAGATGGAAAAGAACCCACTGGATCTGAATTGGCTGCCTCACCGATTCGACCTGCAGTGGCGGGAGCCTGGGACACTCTATATCTCACCCTGGGCCAACGATCCGAGGTTCAAGCGCAGCTGGGGAAAGGGTCGAGGGTTCGAGAGCGAGACGCGGAAGTTTGACCAGTCGCATCCGGTTCTCAGCCGCAGCTCCAGCCACCACCAGGTGGTGTCGTACAACCTTGGCGGCCTGCGATGCGTCGTCCAAGCCGAGGTCGACGCGTACAGCTGTGACTGCGGACACCAGTCGGGAGGTAGGCCACAAGAGGGGCCGCCCCACGAACCCTTTGAGCTAGTTCGTCCCAGGTCCGCAAAGAGCGGCTCAGCTCGCCGCACCTCGACCCCTAGCCCTGTCATCAGGCCTGTGGCCAGTTCCAACACTGGCAGAGGCAAGGGGAAGGGGAGAAGGCCGGGCGGCAGACGTTCGGTGCCCATCATCGACTTCAGCCTCCTGAATATAGACGACGCAGGAGATAGCGAGTCACAAAGCTCCCTGCGCTCCGGGCCTCCATCAACCCCGGGCTCCGCGGCAGGCCAGGCCTCGAGAAATTCGAAACTGACCGTTCGCAAGGCCGGCAACACCCAACCACCCATCCCCATCTCCTGCCTGCTTGAGATCAAGACCCGGAAGGAAGACTCCACCATAACCATTGAGAGCTGGGCGGCGCAACTTTACTTTTCCGGCAGACGTCAAGTGTTCGAGGCGATGCACCGACACGGGGTTTTCCATCCAAGAGATGGGGGCACGGTGCCGGATCTGGACGGCAAACTTGAGAATTGGGCGAGTCGTGACAGCATTCAGGCCGCGTTGAGCCGAACCGTGGCTCTTCTCCGGGCGATTCGAAACAAGCTTGCGCAGCTGGAGGAGTCGGGAGACATATCACTTGGACCCGAAGGAAACGGGCTGAGCCTCCTGCTTGGTGAGGATGAGGAAGGCAACGAGGGAGGAGGCAGGGTGCCGTTTGCGCGGCTCTATATGAGGAATGATGGCGTGCGGCTGGTTCCTTGAGCCTGCCTGTCTTGTCGATGGAGGGCGTTGAAGGCTGGATTTCTTATGTCATGCCACGATTTGGAACGTATGTATCAGGTTGACGACAGAACGTATGAATCTCACTCATGTAACAAGCGGCGGTGTCCCGAGCTTTAAAAATGGGATTTTATTGGCGTTCCTCCAACAATGGAGCTGAATGGTGGGGTCGGGCACACGTCATACCTCCATTAGGTAACCCAGCGTGGGGCAGGACAGCTCCAAAGCAGGGCAGGCGTGGGACTTGCATTGATGTCCAGCAAGCTCAGCTCGACTGACGGCACATCACGACCCCTCACTCAGCTGGGATACGGAGCGAGCAGGTGAGACTGGCAGTGAGTCCGCGGCTATTCACCTTTGCTGTCATCCCTTTTCCTGGATGCGACGCTTCGCTTGACCATACCATTGGCCTTGGCGACATTCACCACTGGCAGCCCTCCTTACCCCCTATACTCTCTACGCCCGAGGCCTTTTCCTTTCGTCAACCACACAAAACCTCGCCCCCAGGCCTTCAACATGTCGGACCTTGGAAAGAGCCGGCACGGGATCCCCGATGTCGTGATGGTCAAGATCGACAAGTACGTCGACTCGCTGGCGCCCGAAATCCAGCCCAAGGTCGCCGGCGAGATCGACGAGTTCCAGAGCAAGACTATCGACAGGCTCGAGGACATGGTCGTCGACGCCTTCCGCGCGCTCTTCGACCGCAAGGACTCGGGCTCCAGGTCGCTAGGCGACGCGCCCCCGGACGAGTACGGCATTGGGGGCCTGCCATTCGCCAACGAGATCGTCGCGCTCACGCAGTCCTTTTCCAAGGTCGCCGACGGCGCCAGCGATGACATCCGCGAAATCTTTAACCTGACCGAGGGCTCCAACCGCGGTGGCGGCGGCGGCGGCGGCGGCGGTGATGACGACCACCAGCGATCCAGGGGAGGTGGTGGCAGCGACTCGTTCAGGGAGGGGGCCAAGGGGTTCCTCAACCTCGCCCTCAACGCCGTCAAGGAGCACCAGGGCGGCGGCTCCTCCGGGGGCGGTGGCCAGTCGCCCATCTCCTTTGACGGCCTACTCGGCGTGCTGAGCAACACCATCAAGGACACGTCGCGGGACCCCGAGGGCAAGGCGCGCATGATCAGCCCCGAGATCAAGGACAAGATCGGCGCCATCCTGCGCCAGCAGCACGCGCCCCTGGCCGAGCAGTTCACCCGCATCGCGCTCGACCACATCAAGCGCTGGCTGCGCGGCAACACTTCGACGCGCGACCTCGGCGACGGCGTCAAGGGCGAGATCACGGAGCTGGTGTCGGGCATCGCCGGCATGTTTGGCAAAAAGTCGTCGTCGTCATCCTCGGGGGACCGATCCCGCGGCGACGGCGACGACGACAGCGCCGGCGGCAGCGCCGGCTTCTCGGGCGTCATCAGCAAAAAGCTCAGCACGGGGCTGGCAAAGGTCCACCGCGAGGTACGCCTCGAGTTCCGCAAGGTGCTCGGCGTCATCGAGAAGAACCTATTCGAGGCCCTCCCGGACGAGGTGCAGGGCCCGCTGGAGAAGATCCTGGGCGGAAACCCGTTCGACCCGTCGCTCGACGCCCAGGCGTCGCCCGCCTCCCGCGGCGGCGGCGACCGCGGCAGCCTGGGCGACGAGATCAAGGCCAAGCTGGTGCGCAAGATCCGCGACCTAGTCCGCAAGGTGCAGGACATCCTGCGGCAAAACGTCCTCATGGTGGTCAACGGCGGGCACCGCCGCTTCGAGAGGGCTAGCTGGGTCTTTGTGCAGACCAACGTCGAGGCGAAGGTGCAGCGGTTCCTCCCCGAGGTCCGCATCCACGTGCCCGACGACATCGGGAACGAGGGCGTCGACGTGGGCCGGCCCAAGACCCCGCCGGCCATGAGGAGCGACGGCGGCGCCGGCGCCTCGTCCCCAGGCAGGCCCTACGAGAACCAAGGCCAGAACCAGCAGGGTCAATACCAGCAGCAGGGCCAGTACCAGCAACAGGGGGGAGGCGGTGGCGCAGCGTCCTCGTACTACAGCTCTCCGCCGCCGCAGCAGTCTTACTCGCAGCAGCAAAATCAGGGATACGGAGGGCCGCCGCAGCATCAGCAGTACTATCCACCGCCCCCTTAATCACAATGGGGACCAGGAGAAGGACGGACGGCTTGTGAACTGGGTTCGGTCGTTGTATCTCTTTGAAGAGATTTGATAGCTTGCGTCCATCTTTTCCTGTAACACGTTTGATGAGACTACGAATAACTACGTCTGGCACGGAAAGGAACCGCGCGCTGTAGATTATGAATCTCGATGTTTTTTAGTTGACCAAAACGTGACAAAAGCAGCGAGCGGCGGTGCCAAAGCAGGCATGGGGACGATAAGGTGTAGCAGCAGCCTGATTCGGGGAGTGATATTGCTTGTTGGCGATCAAATCATAGTAGAGCGATCAAATTCAACGCCTCAAAGACGTCGAGGAAAGGGTGGGCTCTAGATATCTGCGATCCAAAAAAAAAAAAAAACCGTCCTTGTCGCATGACGGTGACAACCTGGCCTGACAGATGCCATAGAAACCGGTATAATGAGGGAGAGCAAGCCTTTACCTCTCTTGGTTTCTAAAAAGGAGAGAATATGGGGAGAGAATGACAGGGTACTACCCCCAGCGTTCCCTAGACCGATGATACCAAATCTACCCCAGAACGCCAGTTGCAAAAAAAGCCGACGACGAAAAGGTCGGCCTAAGTACAGAAGAATTAGAGAGAGATGCCACCAACATGACGGATGATAGGCTAGACAGTAGAGAAAATGGGGTCATGGGCGAGGGTTTGTCATGAAGATGGCGGTTCGTAAAAAGAAAAAAACACATAGAAGACAGAAGACGGGCGGAGGTAGCCCGCCAGAACCTCACGAGCAAGGCGGGGTCATGGCGTAGTAGACGGGCGCCACGTCAGCGACTGACATGGGGAGTGGCGGCTCCGATGTGTGGAGCATCCAGGCACCCTCGGCCTTGATGTCGGCGAGCTCGTTGAGGCTGAGCCCACCCGCCCGGGCGCCCAGCTGCAGCCGCCCGATGAGCCCGATCAGGGTGTCGATGAGGTCCAGCTGGGGTTGCATCTGCAGCCCCGCGCCATCCTGCTCGCTGTCGCAGTCGGCGGTGAGGTCGACGACGCGGGGGTACGCCGGATTTGAGGTCGTGACGTAGGACTGCCCCAGCGGTGGCGGCGGCGTGGCGCTCCTCCTCTCGCGGAAGGGCACGCCACCGACAGCGTAGCGGTGGTGGTGGTTGTGGTTGCCCGGCGGCGATGTCGAGGGCGGCGTTGGTGGGAGATATGACACCGGTGGCGGTGGGAGTGGTGACGGCGCTGCCGATGGCAGGACCGATATGGTGGCGAGGCCGTGGTGGCGCTGGTACTGGGGCCTCCCGCGCTGTTGCTCCTCGGCCTCGAGCTGGAAGAAGCTGCGCAGCTCAATGAACATGGACTCCTTGAACAGCTCCTCGGCAAAGACGGACTCGAGTATTGACGAAACGTCGTCGCGGCGTGCGCCCTGGGCAAGCAGGCTGTGGACCTCGGCGGCGTACTCGTCGGGGGTGCAGTCGTTTTTGCGCATGCGCAGGTGTGTCTCCAGGTATATAGGATCGAGAATCCCGTGGTGGGCTCGCATGTGGTCATCGACACAGCGGGCAAACACCTCGAGGGTCCATGGGTCGAACCCGGGCGCCACCACGGTGCCGGCGCCGGCGCCGCTGTGGCTGGGAACCCAGCCACTATTGCTGCTGCCGCTGTCGGTTGCTGACCTAGCCGCCGCCGCGGCGCTCATCTCCTCTCCGCACTGGTCCTGGTGGTTTCGCAGGAGCGTCCATATGACGGCGAACGGGTGCCAGGGCCCGATTTTGCCCCAAGCAGCGTCGCGGGTAAGGTTGAGTGTCAGGCGGGCGACTTGACTCGCCCCTGGGATGCGGGCGAGGCGGTCCATGGAGTGAAGACCGTGTGGGATGGCCCAGCGCTCGCGCTGCTTGGCCAGGAGAGGGATCTGGTCAAACATGAGCCGGGTCAACTTCATGGTTTCGGTGCTACCGGGAACTGTGGCGTAGGTGATGCCCAAGATGGAGCGCCCCCGCATTTTCATGTTCTGCCGCCTTTCCTCCGGGGACCAAAATGGTGCGATGACGGCTGATGGGTCGTGCAGGTTGCCGTAGTAGCGATTTAGCATGCGGAGCACCTGCTCGGTGTGTCTGGTGCTCTGTAGCGGAATCGCATGCGTTAGCGACATCTCCAGGACGCCGCCATCGGTCGCGTAGACGGCCGGGGACGGCGTCCGAGTGACCGTTTCCGTTGGCTGCGATGTCGACATCACGAGAGTCCCATCCTTCCTGTGTTGCTCTAGTTTGGCCGCAGTGCTGCGGCTGTTTTTCCTGATGCCCCAGGCCTTCAGACGATACTTGTACATCTTGACGCTGTTGGTGAGGGGTCAAACATTAGCGCCCTCCCCCGGGTATAATCGGATGAGACGATGAGTGACGCAGCGCAAGAGCCCCCGCGTCTAACGGCAGGACAAGACCGAGGAAGCTATGCTCGACGGTGCGATGCCGCTCCGAGCGGGGGTTTGCTTCGTCAGGTGGGGTGCATACCTGGCAATGAGCCCGTGGGTGACCTTCATGATGTAGATAATCTCCTTCAGCGGCCTGTTCTGCTTGATATACAGGTCTCTGATTATGGGCTTGTACTGTTCCCACATCGCACTCGTGGGACCTTCGGTCCGTTGGATGACCTGGCTGTCGAAATCCGGCATGACTGGCTGTGTTTGGTGAAACGTGATGTGATGTTTCTGCGGAATCCTTATGCAGGCAATGCGCTAGCCCAAGGGGCGCCGGCGGCCAGAGGACGAGGGCAGGAAACTCGTACGAGGCTGGCGGGGGTCGAAACAGCCGGCAGGATGCGGGTATCAAGGCGACGGAGGGGATACCAAAAGCGCAAAGCCGTGTACATGGGATTTAGTAGTCGGGGTAGCGAGGTGGGTGGTGTCGTCGAGGCGGGTTAAGAACCAGATGCAAGGGAGAAGTGTCGAGAGTCGTTGGAGGCTGCAGGGCCAAACTAAGGTTTTTTAGGTTTATGCGGGCGCCAGCTGGACTTGGGGAGACGGGCGGAGCGATGTGACGGGCCTGGGGCTGGACGATGACTACGGCGGTAGGGAGGAACCTTGGGCACTTAGCGGGGAGCGGCCGGGGGGGTTGGCGCTCGTGTTGTCGCTTTCGTCCTGGGTAAATTTTCCCGCCTGGCCTTTCTCCTATCCGTTTTCTGACTTGCCCGGGTGGCCGTGTCTATGTGGTGGCGGTGGTGGTGGTGGTGGTGGTGGAAGAAGGGGAGGGTGTTGCGCCACGGCGTGGGCGGGTTATCCCTTTCAAGCTGCTTCTTTGCTTGTCCCTGCCGCTGCTGGCCACCCTGCCAGCCCTGGCCCTGCGCGGTGCGGATATACCTAGCAGCGAACCTTCGCCCCGGGCACTCAACAAAGAGGACTAGCAAGGGTTCAACGCACGGCCTGTCGCTCCTCCTTTTCACCAGCCTGTGTTCGGCAGACAGCAATCGCAGCGCGCGCTGCTTGTTCCGCGTGGGCCTTGTCGCGCTCCCAGCCCGGGTCCGAATCGGAAATGAAGCGCGGTCGCGTGTGATGTCGGACGCCACGCTCAGCCGCCGCTGCGTCCCCAATATACCCACTGGGGCCTGGCGAAGTGTGATGGTCGTTGATGAGCGCCTTTGCTGCCATCTGGGGAACCATGAGCCACGAGAGGGGCAGACAAGGTCGCGGATCCCTACCACTAGGCCCGGGCGGGTGCAATCTCAGCAAAATACGGGCCAGATCCCAGTTTCGCAGGACAGCGAGGTCCAGGCCTGGATGGCGACGCTGACGTCGGCGCAGGATGGGGGCTTCGTTATCCTGGGGCCATCTCGTCTGTCGCTTGTTGCTTGGTATCGTGGCGAGGACGTAAACAGGCGTAACAGGTACCTTGACAGAGACAGTAGAACGTCTGGTACCACCAAACGGTCACGTCGTACATGCAAATGGATGCAGACCTGCATGGGACGGGGAAACTGCCACCAATGTGAATGCTGAACATTCGCAGTTTGTGTAACACAAGAATGGGGTCGAGTCTGACAGGTGCGTCTTGGCCAGCCAGCCCTCGCTGGGCAAAGTATGCCCACCTCCGCGCGTCGACGATGGTGCAAATGCAAGGGATGAGGGGCTTTGCTTTTTTTGTCTTTTTCTTTCTTCTTTGTGGTTTTTTTGTTTTGTTTTTACCTCGTCCTAATTTCTCGCTAGTCCTTTTCCAACCCGTCCTCCTTCCTTCTCCATCTCCGATCTTTTTTTCATGTCACGGCCCTACGCACGTATGCCGACGATGGCCCCAGCTGCCCGGCAATTTCACGAATCAGACGGCCCAGTGGCTGCAGCGATGGCAGGGGCCAGGGCTGACCCACGCAGGACGGGCAAGAGCCTGCATGTCTGGCGGGCACCCCACCCCTGACCTGACCTGAGCCCATCCGGGGATAAGCTTCTCGGTTGCTGTCACACAGGCTCCGAGGCCCTCTCGCTCCTTCTCTGTGCTACCAGCCAGGCACAGGCGTAGGGTATTCGGGTACCTGTGTGTGTGTCACGTACTTTGACAACTAGGCCTTGGTGGTTTGTTCCACAGACGACTGGTGATGTGCTGGTGTAGACCCAGCCGAGCATGGCTCTCTTCTTCTCATCTTTTATTTTTCTTTGTCCTTTTTATTGCTTTTGCCGACGCCTCCTGACTTGCGGAACATCAAAGCGAAGATGAACACAGCTTGGCTTAGTGGCTTGCTTTTGGCGGAATGCGGATAGTGATGATACGCGCAGCCTGATGAAGCCTGGTCACTGATCGTCGACGCCAAAATCCCCACCGCGGCAACAACTGGGATGGTAGCACAGAGCACAGGCACCGCAGAGATGGCGTGCCCTTCCGCGATTCCCCTGTCGTAGCAGCGCCCATGCCGCAGTGCCACATCTCGGCAGCAGGACACAGTCTGTCAGGCTCCGGTCATCATCCGTCGTCCTTGGCCGGGACCGACAGCCACGCACACCCTCACGACTTGCCTTTCTTCCGGCCCTCAGCGCGCCCAATCAGCATAGTCCATAGACAACTGCCGCGACCGTTACACAGCCGACCAGGCGGACACTCTGGTGCCACCCCAACTCTTGTGTAACCACGGCAAAAGGGGGGAGGGGAGCATGTTCTGTCAGAAAAAGATGGGGCGAAGACGTAAGGATGGGAACACGAGGCGCTTAACGGGCTCTCTCCCGCCCATCATTCGCTCGCTTGGCGTCTTTGTGCGACCCGACAAAACTTGCGCCCGTGTGAGGTGTCATCGTTCCATTCCTGACCCTGCGGCCGCGGCATGTCAGAGGCCAGGCTCAATATTGAGCCAAGCACAGTGTGCATGGAGCGTGGGCTGCTGATCTGAATCTGTCGTAGACGCAAACGCGCCATCACTACCAGACTCTAGGTACATAGCCTCATGCAACGCTGCCAACACACGAAGCTTCTCGGAGCAGCAGCGTTGAAGATATCGTGCATCATGCGGTCAGACGAATGAGAGCGACAGCAATACACCCGTGGTCACGAGAGACGGACAAACAATGGCCCCATCCACCGAGGCAGTGCCGTCGAGGTCTGGCCTCGCTGCCCTGCCCTCTCCGTGTTCGATCGGACCTCCCTGCAAGGCCGCCCGTGAGCCGGCGTCGACATCGACTCCCCGCCGCAGGCCTGCTGTTTGCTTCCACGCCTAGTATGCCTTGCGATTCGGATATCCAGCCATGTTCTCTCACCGGCCTCATAGCCAACCACAGCTGACCCGTATATTTCTCTTGATCCGTTGTATATCCGGTTTTATTTCCTTGCTCAGGTGTGGCAGTGAGCTCTCAACCCTGTAATGCAATGGAACATGAGAAGAAGCAAATCATCCACCATCATCTTGAGCCGTCTCGCAGAGTGCACTTACTTGCGCGGAGACGCGTCATTCGGGGACGCTACTCACTGTTCGCTTCTGGACGCATTCCACGTCTCAATGGGCCACCTGCCTGTGTAGGTATACCGATCGGAGGGCAGAAGCTCGCAAGGCGCCTGATATCTAGGGCCTTCAAGGTGAGCACTAGTGGTGCCAATCGGGTGGAGGCAACAGACCCGGGCGGGGCTTGGCTCGAGCTGGGGTACTATGCATGACATTGACGGATGCAAGCACTAAATTAGCTAAGCATCCCGCCGCTTGATCGCCTGAGGCACCAAATCCGATATGGTTTTTGAGATGCGACTTTTATGCCCGAGAGAGGTAGCGCATGCGGCTGGTCACCAAGTAAATCACTACAGCCGCCACACCACTTGACGCCAAATCAACGATGCCGCCTCGGCTGCCATTATGGCAGGCGGCCAGGCGCTGCAGAGGACTAATTGGCTCCGCCCCGGCCGTCCTAGCCCCGATATCCCAGGCCGCCGTGCCACAGCCCTCACCCACATCCCTCGCCTCCGTCTTCGGCGCACTCTCACTACAGACCCGCCACGCCTCCATTCTGGCCGATCTTAGGGACAATGAAGGCGCCTACAACAAGCGCAAACGTGTCGGGCGTGGCCCTTCGTCTGGCTTTGGCAAAACATCCGGCCGAGGCCAGAAGGGCCGGAAGGCCCGTGGAAACGTCAGGCCATGGTTCCAGGGTGGTCAGACCCCGTTGATGGTTACCTGGGGTCGGAAGGGCTTTGTGAACCAGTAAGACACACGCCTGCCTACAACGTTGCTGTCGGGGCGCTTCAATGGCAGGGGCCCCCGACGGGTCGAAAGAAGGCTTTGCTGACGAGGGACGTCTTCCGCGGATAGCCGAGCTCCCGAGCTTACGGAGCTCAACCTCGACCGGCTACAGGAGTGGATTGACGCCGGACGCATAGATGCTACGAAGCAGATCACCCCGCGCGAGCTCGTACGGTCGGGCCTGGTCGGGAAGGTGGAAGACGGCATCAAGATCCTCGCGCGGGGCGCCGAGGCCTTCCGGACGCCCGTCGACATCGTGGCGTCGCGCGTGTCGGGCGCCGCGGTGGCGGCCATCGAGGGGGCGGGCGGCAAGGTGACTACGCGCTACTACACGAGAGACTCGATCCAGCGACTGCTGCGCGACCAGGCGGTGCACACTCTCCAGCCGCTGCCTACGGGCCCGGAGCACGTGGATCGGGTGCTGGCCGAGCGCAAGGACCTGCCGACCAGCATCGTCCGCATGCCGGACCCGACGAGCCGCCGCGATATCGAGTACTACCGTGACCCAGCCCACAGGGGCTACCTCAGCCACACACTCGCTCCCGGCGAGTCACCCAGCTTGTACTTCAAGGTGCCCTTGGAAAGGAGGGTAGTCAGCAAGGCCAAGCTAGAGCGCGACAAGGCCAAGAATATGACGGATCCGAAGCTTTGGTAGAGAATGAAAACACCTGGGGTCCTGTCCATTTGTCTGTGGTAGGAGGATCAAGCGCCCAAGTTGCTAATCATGTAAATCTATATGTGCCATGTAATATGTCTGACTCTGATGAGAGCGCCACATGTGTGTTTCTAATTTTCTCTCGGGGATTTCTGTTTCTGCCAAAAGTCAAAATCCGACACCTCGCGGCAACACTTGCCGTCAGTGGCCTAACCCTACCGCTCCTCCCGATGGCTCGAGTCTATCCTAGGTATGGCTATCGGTGGGTAGAAAGCTTCATTACCTCTTTATCTGTATGGCGAACAGGTGGAACGATACGGCGATGCCCTCGTCTCATGTTGAAATTCAAACATTTTTTACCCTTCCTTTATATGACTCGGCCGAATCACAGCTTATTGAGACACGTCTCCGGAGACGAAAGTGTCAACCTAGCTGCGCTGTGGTCACTTCGTCTCGAATGGGTTGAACATCGCATCCTGGTGGGGAGCGACTGAGCCCTGGACACGGGTTGGTGTTCGGGCCTGCCCGTCACATTGGATGTTTCTGGCTCGACGTGGAGCACAGGCCACGATTGGCTGCTTCAGGGCTGCTTAGGCCGTTGTTGGGGAAGCTGCGGCGGACCCGCCCCCAGGGGCAACCCCACAACAGCTTGTGGTTCGGGCTGCACCCGCCTGGCCACATGCTGCCGGCGCGTTCCAGATCCCGCGGCTTCTCATCAATTGCAGTTTGAAAAAGGCATCATCACCTACTGAGTAAAGCATCGCCAGGCGCCCTGCTTCATATACTGCGCTGCGAGCAGTCGCGCATTGCTCCGTCTCTTCTTTTTACATAAGCTGTTGAGTATTCTACTGGCTGCGAGGCCAGGGGAACGTTTTGTCGCATTATCACCACCACGCCACAGGCGCTATTACGAGGACTCTGACGCGAGAAACGACCGGCCCCGCCCGACGTGCTGCCAATATATCAGAGACCAACCCCGTGTTCTTTACAACGTCCGCCAACGCCGCCGAAAGATCGGACGAATAGAACTGCTGTTATACTGCACCGGATTGACGTCACAGCTAGAGAGAGGCCAGGGAGCCCGTTCGCCCCGCCACCCAGCTCCTCTGGGCCACAGCCGTCCTCGTTATAATGTCGCTCTTTGGTGCATCCCCGCCCAAGGGCGAAGAGCCGTCCATGTCCGACTCCTTTGCCCGCTCGCGGCACTCGCTCTTCGACGACGACGACCCCAACCCGTCCTCTAACTCGCTCTTCGCCGACAACGACGACCCCTCTCGCACCTCGTCGCCCTGGGATATGCCGACGCCGCGTAAGCAGACACGCACCGAGCTGCTCCGGAACCTCCTTCCCGCCGCCGACGTCCCCGGCTACTACATCGAGGCATTCGACGCCGTGCTGCGCGTGCAACCACAAGAGGAGTCATCGTCCGGCGATGACGCGCCAGCGAAAGCAACGGCGCAGGCCGGCCGCGTCGGGCCCGAGGGACTGATGCGCGCGCTCTCGGCCGCCAAGATCGGGCCTGAGCAGAGTTCCAGGATCCTGGGGATCGTGGCACCGTCCAGCGGCGAGCCCGAGCTCGGCAGGAATGAATTCAACGTATTCCTGGCCCTCATCGGCCTCGCGCAGGAGAAGGAGACCATCAGTCTTGACGGCGTAGACGAGAGGAGACGTAGTAGGTTTCTCTTATTTTCCTTCCTGCGCCTGCCCTGCTTCCTTCCCCATTCCATGACTTTGGTCTGCGTTCCTCTCCAAATTTCATCATCCTATTCCACTCTTGCTATTCCGAAAAATTGGTTCCGTCGGAAGCATGTGGGTTGCGGCGGCTCTAAGGGCTGGGCGTCCGTCGGCGCGGGTCGGGACACCCCTGTTTTTATCTTATCTTGCCGCAGCTGCTATTTCCTCGGCGCGCGGCCATTCGTGATGGCTGGCGGGCACCCGCTGGTGCGCGGTTACATCTGCGCTTGAGCTCCTGTGGGGCTGAAAAAGTGCGGAGCTTGGAGCCCAACCTATGATGAACTCTTATCGCTGACATTTCATCACCAACCACCTCCTTGTCCTCCCCCATCGCTAGATCTCCCAAAGCCGAAGCTCGTCGGCCTGCTCAATTCCAGCGCCGGCCTGCCAGGTGCCTCGGACCTCGCCGCGAAGCCGCCACAGCGCCCTGTCACGCCTCCTTCGCCACCGCAGAGTCAGCAGGAGCAGCGCAAACAGCCTGAACACACCCCAACGTCGACGCCGCACGGGACTGTGAGGCGCGGCCCAATGGCTGCTCCCATGGACTACCCTGACGACCCATGGAATACTCCGGATCTGCACAAGAACCACAACCACGCCCCCAGCCTGCCTGCTGGCGCCCCGGCCAATGGGCTTAATTACGACCAGGCCCGGAATCAGCCGCACCAACCAACGCACCAGCCCGAAGCGGGAGCCCTCAACGGGTCTTTCGAGAGCGTAGGCAGCTCGCCGCCTTCTGGAGCCGCTGGTGTTAATCGGACCACTTCGACCTTCACGACATCGGCAAGCCCTGTCGGCGGGTCCAGCTCCAACGGTACGCAGCCAGAGAGGAGTGCGCTGCCGCCCCATATGGCCTCGGCTGGTGGTCCCGGAGTGGCAGAATCTGGGGGATGGAACTCGGGCTACTTTGAGGGCAACCAGTCCTCGGCTGGCGGCTTCAGCGATCCTTCTCAGGGAAGCACGCAGGCAACATCGCCCTTTGGTGATGGCGGTCCTGGGATCAGGAATCCCGGCCCCGCCCCTTCAGGCCACGCGCGGAATGTCTCCTCGCGGTCTATCGGACCCATCGGCGGCAACGGGCGCACTGGCAGCTCCATCGAGGAGAAGGTGCTCGTTTCGCTCATGCCCGAAAAGGAGGGTATTTTCATGTTCCAGCACCACAACTATGAGGTGTCTAGCGTCCGGCGAGCCAGCAAGGTGATTCGGCGCTACAGCGATTTTGTGTGGCTGCTTGATTGTCTCCACAAGCGGTATCCCTTCAGGGTGCTGCCCCTGCTGCCTCCGAAGCGCGTGGCCGTCAACGGAAACCATCTCTCCAACGATGGGGCCTTCATAGAGAAACGCCGTCGCGGACTTGGCCGTTTCTTGAACGCGATTGTCCGCCACCCTGTGATTGGGCAGGAACAACTGGTTGTCATGTTCTTGACTGTCCCCACGGTACATGCCTCCTCTCTCCATCTCTGTCTACTTCCCATAGCTAACTTGTCCTTTGACTACGCAGGAATTGTCCGTGTGGCGGAAGCAGGCGACCATATCGGTGCAGGATGAGTTTGCTGGCCGAAGTCTCCCGCAAGGGCTTGAGGAATCACTCTCGCCGCAGCTGGAGGACCTCTTCTCTCGGACCCGTGCTGGCGTGCGGCGCTCGGCGGAGCTCTACATAGGGGTGTGCGCCGTCATGGATAGACTCGTGAAGCGTACCGAGGGTGTGGCGGCGGACCACGCGCGCATCGCATTGTCGCTCATGTCGCTCACCGAGATTAGTGGAGACTGCTATGCGACCGACACCAACGACGTTCCCCTGCTGAACGATGGGCTGGTGGCCATGAGCAAGCACCTCCGCACTGCCCAGAGTCTGATGGAGGACGAGAGCCGGGCCTGGGACGCTGGCGTGCTCGAGGACCTCAAGCGGCAACGTGACGCGCTTGTGGCCCTGCGCGACATGTTTGATCGCCGCGAGCGGTTGGACAGGGACAACATTCCCGCACTGGAGCGGCGGATCCAGGCCAACGAGACGAAGTTGGCAAACCTGCGTTCCAAGCCCGAGGGCATGGTCAAGCCGGGGGAGATTGAGAAGGTGGTCGAAGCCATTATCAAGGTTTGTCATCTGCCACTTGGCCATTCCATGCCGCATATATGCTAATGTTGCCAACCAAAAAAATCAACAGGACAAAGAATCGATTGTCAACCAGCACAACCGGTCCGTCTTCGTCAAGGAGTGCCTCCGCGACGAGCTAATCTACTTCCAGAACTCCCAGTACCATGTCACTCGGTGGAACCAGGACTGGGCGCAGGAGAGAGTAAAATACTCTGAAATGCTCGCCGACAACTGGCGTCGACTTCTGGACGGCTTGGAGGGGATGCCAACCGGGGAGTGAAGTCGGGCCTTTCGAAAGAGATTCGGTGATATAATCACATGTTTCCATCCACACACAACACTCTGACGCATTTACACTCACAAACAAGCACTGCCCGTCTTTTGCCCCTCCTGCACACAGCTTCCTTCTTTGTCCTTCACACGCGTCTTTTGTATTCTCCTGCTGTATGCAATATGTCAGGCTTTTGTATCGACGTGCTCACAGTCGGCCGGCCTGGGAGGCGCCGCGTGTATATCTGATTGTTTTCCTGTCTCTTCCATCGTTTATTCTCTCTTGGGGCTTTTTCTCGCTGGAAGTTTCTTACATACCCTCAACCAACCAGTTTGTCGATCGCCCGTAATGTTTGATGGTATTGTCCGCTTGATGCGGCTGCTGTTGCGGGCAGCACAATATGCAGTCTCTGTTGATATGGCACCGCGTTTGCAATGTGACGTAGAGCTTATCTTAAGGTACATGTGTATCTACGCGGTAGGTACTTCGGACGTTCTAGGTTCGTTCTCACTGTGCAGATGGGTCATGGGATGGTTCGCGGAAGTCCCACACGTCTGAGAGTTCCGTCCGAGATTCTCATCTCTCCCGACCCTAACCCTGTGACGCCCCGCACTCGTCCCATCCGTGTAGCGCTTGGCAGACGCAGCTGCAGCCTTGCCGCCAACAAGTTGACCCCTCCTGGCGTTTCGCTGCCTGACGGGTGACGATCAGACACCAAGCACCCAAGCTATAGAATTCTAACCTCACAACTCCCGTAGACAACCCTGCGACTCCTCGAATCTCACAACCCGCCTGCCTTCAATCTCAACGCCACCACCACCCACGCCTTCCGCTCCTTGATCGACGCTCGCCCTTGCCCCCCCCACCCGATCCTGTCGAACACACGAGCAGAGGCTCCGGCGACCGGCGACTAGCACCCGTCGTCACGCAAACGCGTCGCCTCCAAGCTTCCTGCCCTTTCGCCACGCGCCCTTTGCCCAATCCCAGCCCTTTTCCGCCTGGAACAGACACCACAGCGTGTCTCGCCCCAGCAGACACCACCAGCCCGGCTCCCCCAGGCCGCCTTCCTCCTCCCACCCACCACCGCCCTCACGACCAACTGCGTGGCGTCATCCTTTCTCCCCGGAGAGGAAGAGCGCTGCTGGACAAGTCATTCCAGGGCCACAGGAAGCTCTGTCGCGTTCCTTCTGGGTGTAGCCCAACCCGGCGGGACTTTTGGCGCCCTCCTCGGCTCTTGCCCTGGATCGCATCGGCTAGCTCGAGTTAAGACACGAAGCGCAAGAGGGAGAGATAGGACACGCGATGCCTCTGACGTCGGGGCAAAAGGCCATCGTCGCCTCCTTCTGCCAGGCGACGGGCGCCACCGAGAAGGCCGCTCAGAGGGTGAGTGCCTTTCTTCTTTCTTGATGTTCGGAAAGCCCACCAACGCCGTTGGTTAGCTCCCTACCGAGCAAGGAATAGCTCAGATCGTTGAAGTGTCACGAGGTTCCTAGCGCGTTTCCTCGCCGCGACGGCAGTGAACGAAAGAGGTTGGAATGGCGCTTGGGTAGCTGCGCTTGAAGCTCTCAGACTTGAGATGAACTCCTGTAAAGCCTCAGAAGCAAACGCCCTTGTCCCTGGCGTAGCTTCCGGTTCTTTGCCAACCGTACACTCCGATAGTCTCCCAACTAACTTCTCCCCGTTGCAGTTTCTCAAGAACGCCAACTTCAAGATTGACGTGGCCGCAGATGCGTAAGTGCTACAACCTTTTCTCTCGTCACCAACTGCCCATGTCACAAGCAAACAATGCTCCTTCTCTACAATCGACCCCCCATCCCGTGCTTGCTCTATCCGGGCCCGCTCGATCTTGCCAGCAGGACGCCACATCGCCTAGGACCAGGGAACTTGCCTCGGGAGGGGAAAAGCGGAAAATGGACCATGGAAATAGGGATAGTTGCTGCCCTATGACCTGGTATGGATTGGCCTCGCCACTTCCGCCGCTGCCGGGGCTCTGTGTTGAAATTCTTTGATGAAGCTTGAATCCGGCCTCCTCGCGCACCATCCGCAACAACCGACGCTTCTCCCTCACATCATCTCTATCATCTTTCGGTCGCCATAACTCGTCAAATACCCCCTGCGTCCTGTCGAGCTCAACACTGCCGAAGCCTGCCGTCCGCCTTGAAGAGATGTATGCGCCATGGGTTGGGGGTGGAAACCCAGGGAGGGGCCAAGGGCGTGGATCGGATCCTAGTCGCGGCCATGGCCGTGGAGCTTTCCGGGGCACGGACCGTGGACCCGACCGCGGACGTGAATATTCTCAAGGAGCTGCTCAAGGAGCTGACCGTGGATCTGGTCGTGGCCGTGGGGCTGACCGCGGAGCTTTTCAAGGAGCTGATCATGGACTTGGTCGTGGCCGCGGGGCTGACCGTGAAGCTTTTCGAGGAGCTTCCCGAGGAGCTGACCATGAATCTGGTCGCGGCAGCGGGGCATTCCGAGGAGCCTCCCGTGGAGCCTTTCGCGGAGTCGCCCCTGACACTTTTCAAGGAGCCGGCAATGGACATGGCGCTTTTTTTTACGCCGAGATCAATGCATACTTCCAGCGGCTTGAAAATGCCATGGCCGCCAACCTATTCCCACCACCCGATGTACCTTCTTCACACCACGGGGCCGGATCGGGACGCATCCATGGCGGGACGCCAGCATATTGGGACCACGCAGCCATTCAACGTCACTTACAGGAGGCAGGCAATGACACCCCCCGGTCTGGTAATTCTTCTGGCCCTGCCAACGGCACTGTCATCCCTCAGGCCCGGACTGGCGAATCTCAAGTCGCATCTGGCAGTTATTCCCACCACCTAGGCCAAGGATATTCCAGGCTGTCCATCTCGGCAACTGGACCGCCGCCCACGCCCCCGCGACATGGTTCTCCACGGACGAGGCAAATCATGGAGCGGCCTACGAGCAGTTCCCTGGGTCCGGAAGCGCCAAGGATATCAAGCCTTCCATTCACATTTCGATCACAATTCACACCTGAGAGGATGACACGTTTAGTTAACAATAATCGCAATCACAGCTACTTCAGCAGCAACGCAAACGTGGCCACATCTACAGCATCCGTCGAGTCCAAGTTGGACAAGCTATTCAACGAGCTTCGAGGTATGTATCAACGCTGTAGGGGTTGTGGTTTTGTCTCGGTTACGGCGGCTGACTGAGGTTTCACATGTTAGAATCTGGAGAAGACACTCAAGATGAACTCTCGGCCGAGTCGGCAATGTCATACGCCATGGCCCTGGGCGTTGATCCAGAGAAGGCCGGAATCTTTGCGCTTATGGAACTGCTCCAGGCGCCGTCCCTCGGAACCATTACCCGGCAGGGATTCATCGAGGGGTGGAAGACGACTGGGTGAGTAAGATGGCCGGTCCCCTTTGGAATGATGTCTCGGTGCTGACAACCTGTAGCGCCCAACCGACCAAGTCCAGTCAGAAGGACCACATCCAGACTGTGATTCGCAGCATGCAGACCGACACGGAGCTTTTTAGGCGCGTTTACCGGTACGCCTTTGTCGCGGGCAAGGAGACACCAGAACAGCGCGCGGTTCCCCTCGACAATGCTTTGGTGTACTGGCAGTGTTTCTTCGGAGCGGACCAGCACCAGGGAAAGCCCTGGGTGACGACAGGGGGCCCTGGAGCAGCTGGAGGAACAACAGACTGGTACGCGCTTTGGACCGACTACCTCAAGGCAAACTGGACTCGGACCGTGTCCAAGGATATGTGGAACCAGACCCTGGTGTTTGCCCTCAAAACGCTAGCCGATCCGAATCTGGGCTTCTGGACCCCTGACGGTGCTTGGCCGTCCGTCATCGATAACTTCGTCGAGTGGGTTCGGGCCAAGCAAGGCACTTCTGCCACCCCCGCGGCCACGATGGAGGTCGACTCTTGAGTTCTAGGGCTTGGTCGTCGGTGGATGCTTGTTGAGAGCGACTCGAGACTTTGGAGTTGAGGTGCAGGCATGCCTCTTGCAATCTTTGCTGGATGGGATAGAAAAACCCGTCCGGATGCTTCTTGCGAGTACCTAGTCATGGAGTTCATAGCGACCCGTCATGCATACCTGGCCCAGGCGATGGCTGGGGCTCCTCGATGCTGTACCCTACAAGGGCGCTGATCGAGGCAACGCCTTGACTTTTGGGTGGTGCTGGCGTTGTGGATTTTGTTTGTGGGCAGCCTTTAGCGGAAGCGAACAACAAGGATGGCTGGGAAAGATGCGGCCATTCTATGGCATACGCTTCCACCTTGACCGGGCACGGCTGTGACGGCCAATACACCTTAGGCTGTCATGTTGCCCAGCCCAAAGGTGACGACAGCTGGATGGCCATCTGGGTGGATAGAGCAGGGTAATACTATTGTTATTGTACAGTGCTCTTGTTTGTTCCCTGGGGCGGTGCGTGTCAGTTAGCCTTGCTCGACTTGTCTGTCGTCAGGATCAGGTTGTCTTGCGGATCGGTTGGTGGATGAATCGCGACGATGAAGGCTAGCTGGGTGTGAAAGGGCCGAGTATGCAACGGTCTCGAGAAGCCGTCAAACCCCCGCTCAAGATGAAGATATACGACATCACGAATTAGAGCGAGGGCGGCAAGCAGCGCATAACAGTTCGTAGTATTCGTACATATCCAGGCGCGCCGCCACGCTGCGTTGCTTGCTCTGCTCGGATGGGCGCATCTCGTTCATCAGCCGCCGGGCTGTCGGCCGACTTTGCACCGGATACGCAGCAGCACAAGACGGAGTGGGGTTTAAAACAACCCTCGGTCCCCCCCTAGTGCCGGGCTCTCTCCTCCGTTTTTTTCCTTCCGTTTTTTTCCCCCATATATAACCTTTTTCCTTTTTTTTTTTTTTCATGGCTTGGGCCTTTCTGAGAAAGCGTCGTTCCATCCCCTTCCATCCCCCCTCCCTCTACATGAGCTCCCTGTCCTTGCCGGCCGTGGCCCAGCGGATCTTGCCCAGCTTGCTGAGCGACTCGAGCTTGCCGTCGCCGAGCTTGACGGTGCTGGAGCGGATGACGCGCGGGTCCAGGCGCAGGGCCTCGCGCAGCGAGCGCTGGGCGTCGACGCCCGAATCGTAGCGCAGCACAAAGTAGTGGCCCTCGTGGTAGCGCATCTGCGACCGCGTCGCGCTGCGCGGCAGCATGAAGACGCCCCAGTTGGCGATGTCGCGGATCACGCCGCCGCCGCGCAGGATCGTCTGGCCGGCCGTGAGGACGATTCTGGGTGGGTGAGTGGGTTGGGTGTTAGTCTTGGGCGCGGCCTCTTTTTGACGGAGGGCACATCACCCCGCGCGTCCACTCGTGGGGGGAGATGTCGTTCGTGTTGTCCTTGCGGGTCGGGATTCGGGAGGGGTTCGGACGGCGTCGGATGGGGATCAGGTCGGTGGACGGCCGGGGCAGAGCGGGCGCACGAAGCAACAAAAGACTCACTCCTTGACCTCTTGGGGCCTGCCAGGCCGGACCTGGAGGATGGTCATTGTCAGCAACAACGACCCTAGCTAGAAAAGAAATATGAATGCGCCAGCGCCAGTGAGCCGAGGGACTTACTACTCCAATCAGCTCGTACAACATGCTGCTCGTTCCCGTCGAGGGGGCGGTTGAGCTGCGGGGTCGGCACAGGGCAATTCGAGATGTGCGGGCGTCCTGTCGCGTGCTGCCCCTTCTTTTTTTTTTTCCTTGGACGGTTTGTCTCGGAGCTGGTAACCAACCTGCGCGCCCCACACGCCCCGCACAATACGTGCTTGGGGAGCGATGCGCCCCTCTTGCCTGCCCCCTGCCTGCCCTGCCTTCGACAATATGAATCGAGTGCCCTGCAAGAACAGGCACACACGACCATGCCCACTGGAACACACGGGATCGGGGTTTGATTGAAAGGGTGCGCGGCCTCGAAGATCCTCATTTTCATAACTATGGAGCTTGACATTCGCTACCCGTCAAAACTTAGTTCCAAAATTGGTAGCCATATACTCCTCGAACGCGAATTTGACATTTCCCGTTTCTCCCTCCTCCCTTAGGTTGTAGGAACAACTGCCGTCGGTGGTGAGCAAGACGTATTCCGTTGGGCTTCCCACGTTCATGGCCAGGTCCTAGAGCAGCCGTCAGCAGTGCACATCCTCAATCACGATGCTCAAGCGTTAAGGTACCTTGATCTTGAAGGAATATTCCTTGAAAAATGTGCCCAACCCCGAGTAATGTTGGCGCAAATTCCAGGTCTTGCTGCCGTTCTTTCTCTCTACGACATAGGCGCCTCCGTATCCAAACCATATGCGGTTTACTCGGGCAAAGTCTTCATCTGGGAATGATTCAGGGAGGCAATAATCCCAGCTTTTACCCATGCGGCACCAGAAATCTCCATCCGGCCCCAGCGAGACAGCCACCGGACAGCCGTAAGACTTGTTGTTGGTTATCCACTTGTCCAGGTCCGGATATTCCTTTTTGAGGCCGGCACGTTCTGCAAGGATAAACCTAATCAGCTGGTATTCGCGTCACAATTGGAGAAACCAGAAAGAAATTCAAACGCTGCTCCTCGTTCACTTACGCGTCTGGCATTTATCGTCCCCTGGGGTGTGATAATGCAGGTAGAACGAGCCATTCTGGCCAAGTGCCATGTACCTCGGCCACTTGTCATAGCCGCTTGCGGCGATTCTAGTTGTCTGTTAATAAAATGTCAAATTCTTGGAGCCGAAGCTGCCGGGAGAGAGAGAGAGAGAGAGAGAGAGAGAGAGAGAGAGAGAGAGAGAGAGAGAGAGAGAGAGAGAGAGAGAGAGAGAGAGAGGGGGGGGGGGACTAACGGAGAATCTTGACCTGGCGCGATGAAGGCGTAGCACGTAAAATCTTGAGCCGGCCCGATGAAGGCGTAACTGCTCCCCCGCAGTGCAAGGCTAGCGTACTCGCTGATTCTGTTCTTTCCGGGGACCGACCTAGTCCGCACAACCTTGGTGGGCAGGGCCTTCATCTTCTTGGTGAGCATCTCGACGGCCTCCTTCATCTTTGCGGCTTGCTCCTTTTCCTCGTCGAGCCTCTTCTGCAGTTTGGCCGCATTCTCCTCGTGAAGCTTCTCCATCGTGATCTTGATGTTCTGCCGCTCCTCTTCCAGGGCTTTGATCTTCTTGTTCATTTCCTCCTGATACTGCCTCAGCATCTCCTCTGAATCCTTGTCCCTGGCCTCGATTGCTCCTTCATCTGCTGTTGCGCGTACTCGAGATCGCGGCGGAACTTCTCCCTCTCTTTGGCGAGCACGCTGTCTAGCTCCTGGCCGGCCGACGTCTGGTCCAGGCTCCTGCCGTTGTCGACCATCTCGGACTGGATAGCGAGCGTCTCCGGGCGGTGCTCCCCCATGAAGTGCCTGACGAGCCGCAGGGCCGAGTCTGGGTTATTCGTGTGGCGGAAAATGCGGGACCCGCGCTGCACCATAAAACCCCAGTACTCTTCAGTCGTTCTGAGCTCCTCCTCCCGCACATTGCCGACCTCCTGGTTGACCTGCTCCCACATAGTGGTGGCGAGGATGACCATTTTGAGGGCGTCCGGGCCGCAGAGCGTCTTGAACATGCTGAGGTTGCGCTTCGACGATCCTTGCATTTTGGGGTCGATGATGCGGTGGAAGTAGATGATGCCGCTCAACATGATTTTATCCTCGTAGGACTTTGTCAGCCATCCGGCGACTTCCTTGAGGACGTCCAAGTCGGGCATGTCCGTATCATCGAACCCGGGCGTGTCCACCAGGAAGATGCGGGTCCCGTCTGTCCACTGAACCGGATAGACCCCAACCCGGTGTGTGCCTAATTTTCACGCACAAGGGTTAGTTGGTAGTGCCCCGGTGTTGGCGGGCACATATAGGTAGCGGTACTGACAGGATCTCATCGAGCTTCCAATTTCGACATGGCATTGGGTGATGTGGGAGATGAAGGTGCTCTTCCCGACACCGGTGACGCCCATCACGGCGATGAACTTGTCGGAGTCGTTGGGCTGGGAATCGACGAGGCTGCTGGTTACGGGCGAGCCCGTGGCGCCTTGGGACGGCTGCGAGCCATCCGGTCCACCGATAGTGGGGGTGTATTGAGCAGCGGGCGCAGCCCCGGTGGGCGAGCTCGGACTGTGTCCGGACGGGCGGGGGCCGCCCGGCGCCTACCCATTAGGGGAGTAGGTGGCTGCGGACGAGGCTTGTCCTGGACGTGTGGTTACCGTGCCTTGAGGTTGCTGGGTGTCCGGGGGGCCCGCAACCGGCATGATGTTCTGTGAATGGATTGGGATCTTGTCGTGTGCTGCAAATCGAGTGTCAAGGGTCTTGGACTTGCCCTTACCGTTAGTACTGCAGCTGCCTCTGGTCTACCAGGTACATGTACGGTACCTAGGTCGAATTTCATCCAAAGAACGTCTGCAGTAGCGCAGGAGCATCAACAAACAAGGCGCAGAAAGCGCTGGAAATACGAGGCACTGTACTCGGCAGAGGTGCCCAACCTCGGGGCCGAATCAGTACCTACCTACGGAACGTATATACGGAACGTATAATGTTGGGGAGGTGGTTGGGCTTCAGGTGGGTGCGGTAGCTGATGCCTGACTGGCAATAGTACCCCCCTCCCCTTGCCATGCATGAGCTGAACTCTGTCCAGAACACCTTCAAATGCTGCCCAAGAGCTTGGTTCCCCACTTTGACGTCCACGTCACACCCTCTTCTGCCATCTCCCAACCCTGCGGCTAGCCTAATCTTGTGAATTTCCCGGCCTCATGCAACTCTTGTGCATATTGGTACATCTGGCGTGAGAAAGGCGGGGGATGATAGGGACTTGCTGGTTTTCTCGGCCGGTGTCTGCGCATCCTCGGCTCGTCGTTGCGGCCGGTCTGAGGGGAGCCGTACAACAGGTGCATGCACATATTTACCTTATCTAGCGGGCGGCGCAAATCGCGTCTGGGAACCTGCTTCCCTAAAATTCCTTTACGTTGCAGGCGACTACGCACCTCCCGACATGAGGCTAATCGACACGACGACGCTCCGGCTCGGGGAAGATGCACCGGAGCCGGACGGCGGGTACGCCATCTTCTCGCACAAATGGGGCCTGGAAGAGGTCACCTTCCAGGACATGACGCAGCTTGACCAAAGTACGCTCAGGGGCAAGGCCGGCTACGCAAAGGTCGAAAACGTGTGCCGCATCGCGCGGGAGATGGGGCTGCAACGCGTCTGGATCGACACCTGTTGCATTAACAAGGACAGCAGCGCCGAGGTCAGCCAGTGCCTCAACGCCATGTTCCGTTGGTACAAGAAATCGACAGTCTGCATTGTCTACCTGCATGATTTCCGACCGGGCCCAGGCTTGAAGCTCGGCCAGGGGTTGGTTGACAGCCTGGCCGAGTGTCAGTGGTTCCAACGAGCCTGGACCCTCCAGGAGTTGATCGCGCCGGAATACGTCCGATTCTTCGACCACGAATGGAAGCTTTTCGGGAGCAAGTTTAACGACAAGAAGCGCGTCGCGCGCGGCTCCGAGAGTCTCGAAGCGCTGCTGGTCGATCTATACGTCATCACCCACATCCCCATCCCGGTCCTCCGCGACCCCGACACCGTCTGGAGCTACCCCGTTGGCAACCGCATGTCGTGGGCCGCACACAGGCGCGCGCTGTACGTCGAGGATCTAGCCTATAGCCTGATTGGTATCTTCAACGTCAGCATGCCCATGCTGTACGGCGAAGGGAACAGAGCCTTCATCCGGCTCCAGGAGGAGATCATAAAGGAGACCAACGACATGACGATATTTGCGTGGACAGCGCCCGACAGTCAAGAGAAGCACCGCGGGATCCTGGCCAGGTCGCCCTCCGAGTTTGGGTGCTGCCGGTTCATGCATTACGCCCCGAGCGCCGGCATGCACACGTATGCCATGACGAACCGCGGGCTCCGCATCAAGGCGGTGCTCGAGAAGTCGGTCGGGTGCTCGGGCATCTTCCACAACGTTGCCCAATCCCGCAGCGCTGAGCCCGACTACCGTAACAAAGTCCGCCTCCGCGACGACCACCTGTTGTTCCCCATGGGCGAGAACGACGGCGAATTCGATAGCATGAGGTCTGAAGAGCTGCTCCACGGCAAGTGTTTGATGCACATCGAGCACTTCAGCAAGGGTATCTCCCACCGCCAGGCTTCCTCGGAGCTGTGCTGCATTCTGCTGAGGAAAACGACCAACGGCTTCGTGCGCGAGAGCCCGCATGTACTTGTGGCCAGCCAAACCGGGAACTACCAGCTCGAGGAGATCCATATCCACAAGGACCTGCTGCCCTCGGCGGCTCGGGAACTGCAATGCTTGTATTCCAACGCCATCGCCATCCGCACCAACGCCATCAGCCCGCGTTGCCCCCTCCGCAGAGTGTTCCCCGCGCACCTCTGGGACCCGGTGAAGCATCTCTTCCTCATGCCGCAGCGACTGACGCCGGCGTTTGTCGGAATTATCGAGGTATCCGTGGACAGCTTCAACGTGCTGCTTGTGGTGGTCTTCGACCCCGACAACGTGTTCCCCATTGGTGGCGGCATCTCCCGACTGCACTGTGGTATAGTGAGGGCTGGCGATCGTGATTGGTTTGATCGCGAGGTGGAGACGTGGGACTTGATGTCAACCCAAGAACCCATCGTGAGACTGATGCTAGGTTTCAGGGGCGAGCTAACGCTCGAATCCGATTGTCTCCGGAGCCGTCTCACGTTGGCGCGCGAGACCAAGGGAACGATGCACACCATTACGGTTTCCTGCCAGAGGACTACGAAATAACTTGTAAAGGCGCGTCTTGTGGTCAGCACAACGCCGTTGATATTTGTTACTAGGAATTCGTTATAACAGCGACTCCACAAAAACTACCTGAGGGGGCACGTGTTACGCACGACCCACACCTGTTGATAGACCTGGCCGCGCACAGGCACGTGACAGGCTATTGCTATTTGCACCAGTCGACATCAGAATCGACACGGCACTTTTCCTATTCTGGCATCTTGGTGAGTGTCACCCCATACAAAAACAAAGCCTGGCAGGGCTACGCAGCAATGTTGACTATTGCCGTTCGGCCCCGGTCACTGATCTCGCGTGCGTCGGCCAATAAAAACGGTTGTTTTTCGGTACTTCCGCGTGCGCCTTATTTAGCCGGTGATAGAAGTACCAGCACAAGTCATTGTTACAAAGCGGTACGTCACGCTTGAATTCATGCAAAAATTACGTAGGGCTAGTTCCGACGCACCCCTGCAAATCCGTGCCTCCTATCTTCCTATCCGGGCGACCTGGGCCCAACGGCACTTGAGGGGATACCGCCTTGACCCAGCGTGGCCTCTCCTCGCCACTAGCATTGAGTCACCACGCGAGCAATCATCAACAACAGCTCTCCATCCAGCCGCGGTGGGTGTCAATCGGGCTCGAAGCAACCGCCGAGAGCGCCGAGTATGTGGTTCGTCCATGGGCCCTCACCCGCCTGTCCAGCCCATCAGAGTGCTCCGGCATTGTTCTTGCGTTATTTATGCCGTTTTGACGTGGCAGCATCCGTTACCAGCACTCTGCGAGAGGGGCTCCCTTGGCCGTGATTCGCCCGTTTCTGCCCCATTTCACCAGACCCCGAAAGCTTGCAGCGCGCCAGCGCCGAAGGCTGAAGCTCTTGGCATGGCCCTCCCCCACGGCCAGCATGAACCTCTCCCTGACCCGACCGACTGGCACTGACACCCCAGTCTCTCCACCGCGCACGAAGCCCCAGCCATCAACGTCCGTCCGGCACAGCTGGGAACACCGCTGATGCCATTTGATAAGGGAAGGCCCGCTCATCGCAGCCTAAATTGCCTAGTGCTTGAGCGGAAACGCATCACCAGTTGGGGGCTGGCAATCACGAGTGTCATGGTTGACCAAGAATCACTCTTTCCTCCTGTTATTTGTGGTATTGCTGTCCTTGGGTTACCTAAAGTCGTTTAGGAAAACAAAACAAAAAATAGAAACACTTTGTCACTTCCATCCACACACTGAACGTGTTTTGTTTCCACATTTTGCACTGCTGTTTTTGCCATGGTTTTGAGCCATATCTCCATCTTTGGAGCCGCTCCGGTCCAGCTCTTCCTTTTCCCGCTATGTGCCGACCGCGAAGCCGGTGACGAGGACCAGAGGACGGGCGTCGAGTATATCCACGGAGGCGTTGGTACCCTCGCCGACCTCCTAACGCAGGATCCCTTGAGCGGCGTTTGCGTGCGAGGGCCGGACCTTGGTAGCCCGGAGCGCGGCGCTATCGATTCGATTTCTGAACTCGAGCTCTGTGGGACAGATGGTGGCCGGGGCCGCCACGGCGCCCTCAAGCTGGCGCGCGAATGGCACGTCGGATCACCCAAACTTCCGCCCAAGTGGTATGCGCCACGACCGCTGCTGCTACCCGAAGGCGATGGTGTCGACGCCGGCGGCAGCGTCTTCATCAGCATCGTCCTAGATGCTGACCCCGGAAAGACGTTCCCAGACGGCGCATGCGATGTCATTATCGACGGGATCCCCGAGATTCCGCCGCCCCGTTTCTTAGTCGTCCTCATGACCGCCCCCCTCTGTGTCGGGGGCCTCTGGCAGGCGGTGCGCCAGAGGGAGCATCACCGCGGCAGGCTCGTGGCCGGAGCTGAGACGGTCGCCATCGTCAGCGCCGATGACCTCCGTGCCGAGGGGATGCAGCTGTCGCTTGGCTTGTCTTGGGAGAAGACATGCGAGGACTTTGTCGAGAAGCTGGGCTCCGTCGGAAGGTTGACAACTCTGATGACTTGCCCGCACCTCGTCGTCCTGTTCGGCTACGACGGCGTCATCTACCATCGCGGCCGGGAGGTGAGCAAGCCGACCTTGTTCTTCGACCCGCTGTGCATTGAGGGCGACTTCGCCCGGCGGAACCGGGGCCGCGTCCCCGGAGCCCGGGAGGCGTTCGTCGCGGGCTTCGCCCAAGGCCTCGCCCAGAGCCTCGCCGCGGTCCACGGTTCGCCGGCGGCCGAGTGCGACGACGCGAGCACCAGCGCCTGTGTCAAAAGGGGGATCGAGTCGGGCTTCTGGGCTGCAAGGCGTCTCTCACATCAGGGCTTATCCCTCGCGGCGGCGCCAGCGGCCTCGCCGGCATCTGTGTACCGGACCGGGGGGATCCTCCTCCGCGGGGGTCGGGACCTGCCCGACGGACAACACTTGCTAGAGTTTGCGATCCCGGCAGACAGGATCGCCAGGGAGACCGAGCCCAGCTGGTCCCTGCTCGACAGCATAGTCGGAGACGTCACCGCGGTCGCGCGCGGCATCGTCATCGACGGGCCAGAAGCACCCGGCAACCAGGTGGCGCAGGCGCGCTTTGGCCGGCTCGTCTTGTTCGACCGGCACGAGATCGAGACGTTCCGCACCGTCTTCAACCTGATACAGCAATACCTCTCCAACCCCAACAAGCAAAGCCCGCTCAACATCGCCCTCTGCGGGCCCACGGGCGCGGGGAGGGCCTACGCGGCGCTACAGGTGGCCGAGAGCGCCACGAGGGGACGCAACGTCCGGCAGCTCCGGTTCGACCTCGGCAAGTTCGCCTGTGCCGCCGATCTCACTGCCGCATTCTACAGCATACGGGACTGTGCGGCGTCGCCCGAGGCACCCATTCCCCTGGTCTACTTTGACGGCTTCGACACGAGCCTCCCCGACTCCACGTCGCCGTTCGGTTGGCTCCCCCACCTCGCCCCGGCGATGCTCGACGGCGTGTTTTCCGACGGCGGTGTGGCTAGGCACATGGGGCGGCGCGCCGTCTTTTTCTTTGGCGCCAGCGCTGTACGGACGTACGCCGACCTGAAGCGCCGGGCCGATGCCAACACGGACGCGTCGGCCGGGGTGCGCAGCTTCCTGGGCTGCCTTCACGGCTGCGTCGACGTCCTCGGGCCCAACCGCATCGACGCGGCGGACCGGCTCTACCCCGTGAGGCGAGCCGCCCTCCTCCGGGCTCTCTTGGAAGAGAGAGAGCCGAAGCTCAAGGCCGGCGAAAAGCTCAGGATCGACCACGGCATGCTCAACGGCTTGCTTCTCGTCCCCAGCTACCCGCAGGGCGTCAGGTCCATCCGTTCCATCATTGCCATGAGCAGGCTCGACGGCTGCCAGCGCTTCGAGTTCGCAGCCCTCCCGCCCCGAACGCAGCTCAACATTCATGTCGACTACGACGAGCTCCTGCGGCACATGAGCGGGATACCTATTCCCCGTGAGCACCGAGAGGAGATGGCGAGGGGCATCCACAACGCCTACAACGACTCTATTGATGCCATGCACGCCGAGACGCCGAACAAACCGTCTGCCGAGCCGTGGGAGGCGCTTGATGAGGAGAAGAAGGAGTCGTCCCGGGCGCACGCGGATTCCATCCCGCACAAGTTGCGCCTTGTCGGGTGTTTTCTGTCGCTGGAGCGGGATGATCGCACGCTCGTCAAGAGTTTTACCCCCGAGGACGTCGACCGGATGGCCATGGAGGAGCACGACCGCTGGTGCTCTGAACGGCTGCAGAAACAATGGCGTCTGGGGCCCAGGGACCCCAAAGTCCGGAGCAGCCCCTTTTTTGTGTCCTGGTCCGAGCTGGACAAGCCATGGCAGGACGTAGATCGTGACATCGTGAAGAGGTACCCGGAGATCCTCAAGCCACATGGGCTCATGATCTACAAGGTGGGCTGAAAATTTCCTAGATTTCCTTTTTTTTTTTTGCCCGGGGGAAGGGAGAGAGAGGCGGCTGGCGAGAGGTGGGGCTGTCAACAAAGGAAAAAGTCTACGTTAGGTATGCAGTCTCAGTTGTAGGTCAGCCTACCAGGTAACAAATCGGACCGAAGACCCCTCGTGGCCTTGTAGTAAACGCTTGCACCTCCTGTCCCCTCAGAGCCAGCCCCCTTGTGCCCTACGAGAGACCAGGGTTCGATATTCACAGCCTGCCAGTTATTCGAAGCCACTAGCGTCAACACACTAATCTCACATTGCCCGACCGTATCTCGGCTTTAGGTGTGAAAGGTGCCGATTGGGCGCCACGGCATCTCCTCTGCCAGCACAGCACAGCGTCTGTCCGTGGCGAATCCACCCGCCTCCGGGAAGATTGAGGGGGCATCCGGTAATAGCCATAATTACAACGTGCCTGCGTTGCTTCTTCTTGGCGCGTTTATGTTTATACCTCGCCGGCGCTGGGAGTGACACATGGTCGAAGTGATTGTCTCTCAACAATGAGCCATGGCGACTGGCCCTGCACATCCGGATAAGACCGACACGGCGGCGGAAGCGGGCCCGGGAGAGGGCAGTGCGACCTATTCGGTGTTTCAAACCAGCATCGCGAAGCTGCGGATGGCCCGATGGAGGGTCACTCCAGACTGGAAGCCCAAGAGCCGAGACGAAGCGAAGGACTTTCTCAGGGCGGCGCCGGTGAGAGACAAGCGGACCCTCTCCGAAAAGGGACTCTTTCGAATGCTGTATGTGCTCTCCGCTGGCGAGGGGAGGGGCCTAGCCAGTTGCAGATGGGAAACCCAAATTACTGACAAGCAGAAAACAGCTTCGTTCATCTGCCCGACGCAAACCAACTCACCTTGCACGAAGACCTAATCGAGGTCGCCAGGAATCATGCCTGGATCGATAGCCAGTTTGCTTCCCGGCTGCGATCCCCATCGGGCGGGATGGTGTGGTTAGATTCCCGCGAGAGCGCCAACATGGGTACGAAGTCCTAGGCGTATATAAAATCCGGCCCGACGCTAATAATGCTCGGCTCAACCACCTAGGCTTGGCCGTCCAAGCACCAGCCACCGCCGGAGATGGCCTGGCGTATTGTTTCTCCCTGACCAATATTCGCGGCTTCGAGTCGGATTGGGTCTGCCTCTTCGTCGGCGCGCGCGACGTCTGCCCTCAGCGCGTGGCGTCACTGATGTCCCAGGACCCGTTCCCGTCCGATTTCGTCCCGCCTTTGCCTCCAGACTTCATGTTCCTGCCTATTTGTGTCCTCTCGTACGACATATCCGAGCTGGCCAGGGGCGTTGACGAGGTCAACTCGGGCGTCCTACATATAGTGGGACAGCTCACCGAGGCCGGCATACCCGAAGCCGGCGTACCAACGGAAATTGGCGGGAGCGATGCTGCCGTGAGCCTCCTCTCGGAGCACATAGGCAACCTCCACGAGCCGACCGACATGTACCGGATCAGAGCCGGCAGGGCCGGGCTGTTGAAAATCCAGCAGAAACATCTAGCGCTCAAGCGGCGGTGGTCGTTCCTCCGTGAATTTGCTCACAAACTGGGCTCATACTTTGAGCTGCGCGTAGCGAGCTGGTCCAAAGAAGGAGACCCCGCAACCTACTCGGCGGCGCTTCGGGGAAGGGTCGACCGCGAGCTAGCGAATCTTGACTCGCTATTCCACGAGTTGGACGTGATACCGTTAAGAATAGAGGCGCAGCAGGCTTCAGTAAGCACTCTTTGTCGTGTATCGATTGTTGATCGAGTTGGTAGCTAACGGAAATCGTACCTAGGTGGACAGTTATATGAGCCTCATCGTAAGCAACTTCACGGTGGACGCCCCCCGAATCCGGAAGAATCGTCTCCTAACCTAGGCGGTTCCCATACCAGGTTGCCAAGAACTCTCAGATTATAGCCACCGCATCCCTTGCGGAGGGCAAGGTTATGAGAACGATAGCGGTTGTGACCTTTGTCTTTCTTCCAGGCACTTTTGTAGCAGTATGCTGTTCATTTGCCGTCCCACTGCCTTTGCGGAACTGCCGATTACTGACTCGGACCCCCCCTCTTTGCAGGCTGTCTTTAGCATGTCCATATTCGACTGGAAGGCGGATGAGGCCACGGGCCAGACCTTGGTGTCCAAGTATATCTGGGTCTACGCATTGATAACTGTCTTGCTGACATCTCTGGTAATGCTCGGTTGGGCGGTGTGGATGCGCAGGGCAAAAGGCCCGCCGGGGGACGTGGAGATGGGGCTACGCTGAGGGTCAACATCCTCGGGCGTTTGCATCAAATGGCAAGAGAATCCAACTGGTTGATAGATTTCAAGGTACTGGATATCTGTTGTAACTGTTAGCAGCGCCGAGCTTCGGGCTTTAGCCACGCATTCCTTCAATCGATTTGGAATACGCTTCGCTTGCCGAAAACCCTCAAGGTGGCAAGGAGAACTCTGCTCCGGGCCCCATCACCATCTCCGCGCGTACTATCGGAGCTGAGATTAACTGCCTGCCTTTCCGAGCCGGGGTGCAAAGCCTCGGTGCTGCCTCTCCAGAAAGCGAAAAACTGCCGTCTGTTTCGACAACCCGAACGGTCCTCGCAGGCGCCTTCTGGTACAAAGGCGCCCCCCTGGAGCCAGTCGTTCAAGGAGCTCCTCCTCGAGCGCTTGATGGACCACACCTGCGGCCGGCGGAGCACGCGCGCCTGGATCGCCGAGCGCTACGCAGACTACGACATCAGGCCCGGGCTCACCGAAACGGACGAGCTCTGGCGCAGCGGCCGGTGGGTAACGGACGAGGAGCACATGGCGGAAGCAAGAGGTGCTGGACGACATCTTTTCGACCGACGGAAATGCCTTCATATCACTCACAATCCACTCATATGCTCTATGCGCGATTCTCGACGCTGTGAAATCTCCCGTTTTGAGGGGCAGTGGGGGGGTGGTAGGCCACTGCTGGAGGAATATGCAGACAAGCCAGATAGCGATAGTAGGCTCTAACCCGCACTCACGTGCAGATAGCTAGATAGCGTGCGCGAGGGACCCCGCCTCCGGGCGGCGACCCTCTCCTCGACCATATCGAAAATCTACCTCTACGTGATACCCTCAAAGGCTCTCACATTAAGGCTGAGGAGGCAGGGCATGCTGGTCTTTGAATACGGAGGTGATGATAAATGAAAGTGGGAAGAACACGATGGATGAGATGATCAGGCCAGGTCGGTCGTTTTTCTGGCAATATCAAGTGTAACAGGTGATAAGGCTGGCACCAAGGCAGTTTGCTGGGCTTCTACCTATCACAGCGTGGCGTGCCCTGTGTGCACCTTGCTGTATAGTGTACATCTCTGTGTTAGTTGGTCGTATATCTACCCCGCCCAATCCAGTCCAGACTCCTCTGCATTGCCCGCGAGACCCACGACAACGACTTCCTCTCGGTCTTGCAAGGCGGTAAGCTCATATATGACCGAACAGGATCATGGTCACCGCAATTCGGCATAGAATTCCAGCAGTAGGAGCTCCTAAGGGATTGATCTAATACCGGATGCAATGGGCGTCAAATCGTTGGTCAGACTGGAAACTGCAGGTTTGCTGGTGGGGAAATACTTGTGCCCCCAGTGCGTGGTACCTGGCAGCTACTTGAGATGCGCAAACTTTTAGAGTTGGTCGCTATCAGACGGGAAGTTGCGCGTAGTGAAATCGGCAGGTGTGACTACCTCATTGGACACCTTGCGAATATTTAGCACCTTACCCCGCCTCCACCCCTTCCCTTCCTCCTTCTCTTCACCCTTCACTTCATTCTCAAACTTCCTTCTCATCGACCCATCGTCAACCATGGAGACACCCTTCAGCCTCGCGCCTCGAGGCTGCGCCGCCTGCCCGTCGAACAGCGGCTTGCTCCGCTGCGGCGGGTGCCTGGTCGTCCACTACTGCAGCAAGGAGCACCAGATTGAGCATCGGCAGAAGCACAAGACCTCCTGTGTGGCCATCAAGAAGACTCGCGAGGCCCTGCAGCGCGAGGAGGCCAAGCTCCGCGCCAACCCCGGCGACATGTTCACGCCGGCAGACGTTTTCAATACCGGCGTCGGCATGTTCTGGGGAATACTCGACACCCGAGACTATATGCGCGCCCGCTTTGCCGCCGCCGACGCTCTGCTGAAGATCAACAACGTCGACGCGGTCCAGGCCTCGCTTGACCACCTTACCGACATGCTGCGTCTCTGCCGCAGCGACAATCTTGGCGTGCGAGATACAGTCCCCTTCCTGATGCTTCGCCTGGGCCAGGAGCAAGAGTGCTACGACTTCATCAAGTGGTGGGCCGCCACCGCCCAGCAGGGGCACTACGACTGGGCAGATACGAGCGCGCCGCACCTCGACATCCGCAACGCGAACCCCTTTGAAGACGTCGACATCATCCCTGTAGGAGGTGACCTCGCACACCTCGTCGCCCTTACCCTTCTAAAGATCCGCCTCTTCCTCGACCTCTCTGCATTCGAGGATGACGAGCTCATGCATGAGAATCGCATCCCAGACCCCTCCGAGTTCCTTCGCCCTGTCGGAAAGCTTGTCAAGGCCAAGGTCAAGAACATGGAGGCTCATCAGATCCCACCCATGAGTGAGGAACTCGCGCGTCAGTACCGCAAGCTTTGCAATGTGGTCCACGACAAGAACCCGAATTTTTGGGACCTTCTACATGAGGATGGTGAGCCTTCTCCGCCGGCTATGTTTAGCCCCGGATCTCCCGAGGAGGCGGAGCTGGTATTCTTCCATTCCAAACGCGCATGGAATGAGTCGGAGGACGCCGACGTCATGGTCGAGGCCGAAACCTCCAAGTTCACCACTGTCTATCGCAGCCCCCCTGGCACTACTGGTTCCGTCCAAGTCAACGCCAGCGGAAGCGCCGGGGGGGCACGCCGGATACTCCTGCTCTGCCTTGAGAACGAGGGGCTATTCGACAGCGTTCATGGAGGTCTGGTCACTCGTCTCAATTCCAAGACCTCGGTGCAGCGCGCGTCTTCAACCCAGGGCGCCCTGGCCAAGCTCGGCGAAACCCCGCCCCCGCCCATAATCTTCATCGCCGACGGGGCTATCTCTCGCGAGACAAAGCTCTGGCAGCGCGTCATCGACCGACTCCGCGGGGGAGCCACAGTCATCCTTGGCGGACTGTTCAGTAGCATGACCAGACCCTCCGACGTCGAACGCATGTTCTCAATGGTTGGACTGCCATGGAAAGTCGGCACCTATACCCGGGAGACGACCAAGCTGCGAAAGGGCGTCTTGGACAGAACCGCCACGGCCGGGCTCCCTGTTGAGTACAGCCAGAAGGCCGTCTTTCTCCAAAACGTCGACAAGGCTGCGCGGCTGTACGTCCGCGAGGACAAGGAGACCGACGTCGCCGTCGCGTTCGCCAAGGTCGAGAATGGAAGGCTGGCCTTTATCGGTGACGTGAACAGAGAGGAGGGGTCAGCGAAGGTTATTATGGCGATGTGTGGCCCTTGAACTGCCAGCTAGTCTGTTATATCACGCCTTTCGTATTTCCCTTTCTTTTCTGTCGACATTGCATTGTCCCCCGCCGGGTTTTAATAACAAAGAGATAGGAGACGAGGGGTTCCGGTCAATTTGGTCAGCAGGCGACTTGGTAGAGTCGTTCCAGGGAGCCTTTCAATTACGCGAACGGTGCAGAACACCTGTGCTTGAAGAAGCAGCTCCCTCAGACCGAGGTCAAAATGCGACTCTACATAGTGAGGAATACATGATATCGGACAAAAGAAAACTCTTCGCTTGCGCTATTTAAGCATAGTGGTCGAGTGACAGAATATCTACAATCTAAAAGCAAGCAAAGAAATAAAAATGCAAATCACAGACAGCAACGAAATGCTCCTCTTCGCGCTCGAAGAAGCCCACCCACGTCTTGTCCCAAGATCTTATGCACCGTGATCCCTCCGCTCGGTTGCCCAGTGGCTAATGACTGACCCAGTTCCCACCCAAACAAGAAAGATGATGATAGACACCACTGATTCAACATATTGGCGAGCGTTAAGACGCAGGAGGAGATCGGGACGGGGGAGGGAGTATGGATAAATGTATAGAGGAAGAGAGGCCGGTAAGGGTAGGTGCACGAATAGACATAACCCCCAAATCTGTTCTCAAGGGTGCAGTGGTTTGGCTGTGGGGAGCTGGCACGTTGTATATCAGGGACAAGTGGGAGGGGTGAAATTCCAAACAAATAAACAACACCCGTCCAAGGAGCGGGCTCCAGATACCTGGTCGTCATCGAGGAGCCAGATCTTCCCGCAAAGGCAGTGAGTGCCGATTCGCGTTTGCGGCAAGAGAGTGGTCTTCATACGAATGGGCATGAGGAGCTCGCTTTGACTGTTGAGAGTTACACCCTTTGGTGATACAGAGGTTCGCTGCGGAGCATCGGCTTCGTTCGCCGATCCTCTTTTGCGGCTGTTTCGAGGCCTACTCGTCCGAGTCGTCGCCAGGTAGAACCACAGGATTGACGCTTTCCCAGATGCTGTTGATCCATGCACTGCAGGAC